GCTTTGTTCTTAGTTTTGAAATTGGTTATATTTAACCTCTTAGTTGTGAAATTTTTCCTTATTTTTTTTATAAAAAAAATTGGGATTACATGTAATATTGTTTTATTAAAAAATATGTGATTGAAATAGGATCAAAACACTATTCAAAAATGCATTTCTTTTTGAACCTTTTCTTAAGTTTCTTATTTTGAAAGTATATCTTGAAACCTTTATAACTATACGTTCTTCCCAACAATTAATCCTCGTTAATAGAAGAAGCTATATTAATAAACCAACCTTGGCTTCAAATTGAAAAGGGTAAAAATTTTATGACTGCCAAAATTACTCATCCCATGTTAGGTTATAACTTATAACCTTAGTTTCAGTTGATCGTCTGAATTTTATCGCAACCTTTTGTGCTCTGATTATTTCCTAATTTTTGCAGTTGAATCGAACAATTGTCCAAACTTCATCCCAATTTTTTAAGATCCGATTTAGGCTATTCCTGATTTTTCCAATTAAATAAACCAATTGCCCATATTATCTTGATTTTTCGAATTGAATGAGAAAGAAAGTACCAATGAAAGCCTTTCATCAAGGGTTAATTTCGATCATTAGTATTATTGTGCAACTATAATGAGATATCAGATACTAACTTGTCACCTAAACAAGTTGAGAACCAATCGTTAAATTTTTTCATTAGATTGCTCGTAAATTGGGGCAAATGGTAAAGGAAGTTATTGAATCAATTGCAGAAACAGCACCAACCTCCTTTTTGGAGCGAATTGCATTTAATGAACGCAAACCCAGCAATAGGATGGAATGTTAACAAACAAGTGGAAGATCCATTTTCGGCTGATGTTTGTTGCCTTGTTCTCGATGATGGAACATATGTTTTAGAGTTAAAGGATCGAATTCTATGGGTTAAGTCGCGTTAAAAAGTGTTGGATTGTTTGTAGTAATTTAAACATCAAAATAAAATGCTTTATATTCTTCGTAAAATTGATACGACTGTCGGACCACCGCTTATATGTGTAGTCTAGTAAGTGCATCATTGACTAACTCACAATGAAATATCGTAAGATTTTACAATTTGAAGAGTTGAAGAGATTTTAACATCAACAAGTGTACGTTTTTTCTTTAATTTCTATTATGCACCATTGAAACCAACATAGCACAGTGGGATAAAGGGCACCCATGACCACCACACATAATTGTTGGAGGGCCCTCCAATATAGGAAACCTTAAGAACCATTTTTTTNTCTCAAAACCAGTCTGTAGCAGCATTTGTAGGAGGAGACAAGGCTGCCTTCTACCATTGTGGATTTTTCAGCAGCCATAACACTCTCTTTGACTCTAAGGGCAGACACTACTATCACAACTGTTACATTCAGGGCTCCATAGATTTCATCTTTGGTCGTGGGCAATCGATATATCATGTGAGCTAATTGTATCAATTCTTAAGAAACATACATGAAGAAACGAGCAATTTTTACCAATTGTTTTTCTGATCAAGGTTTTATTGTTTACGTATGGATGCAGGAGTGCGAAATTTTTGTGATTGCTAACAAGAGACATGAAATCCAAGGATCTATCACAGCACATAGCAGGCAAAGCACCAAGGAAAACAGTGGCTTTGTCTTCGTCAAGGGGAAGGTCTATGGCATCGGTGATGTGTACTTGGGTAGAGCTAATGGAGCATATTCCAGGGTAGTTTTTGCAAACACCTACTTTTCTCGGACAGTCATACCTCAAGGCTGGACAAACTGGAGTCATTCGGGCAGTACAGGGTAAGAAACTGGTTCTCAGAAACAAATATCAGTTTCTTCTTTAGTTCAAAAATTCACAAGAATAAGCCTACGTAAATCATCCTACTTCACTACATTTGATTCGTTGAGCAATCTACTAAAAGATCTAATGCAACTAAGTCCTTTGCAAGTACAAGAGAACACGTTAATTTGCTCTATCCCTTCCTCTTCTAACTTGTATTAACGAGATTATGAACACGAGACTCCTTAGATCTACAAAACCATACAAGTTACCCTTCTCTGTATTTCCCTTCCGCTTGTGGACATATCTTCTTATTTTTATTATCTTATCCATTTTAGTATGATCATACATCCCTTATAGCAATTACTCTACGTTCACCGTACAGTTGATTTGTCTTTTACTAGCCCAACACCTAGAAGCATAAAGCATAGCAAGTATAATCACTGTTCTATAGAACTGGAATGATCTTTCATATCACATAGAATTCTCGTAGTACTTCTTCATTTCATCTTAACCTGCTTTAATCCTATACATTATATCCTCTTCAATTTCCTATTCTTTAATAATAATTGAACATAGATATCTCAAAAATCACATTCAGGGACGCTTAAGCAATATCAAATCCCAATAAATTTTATCTTAATTACTGGCTCAACTAGATCAAACATGACGTGGCTGACAATTATCATAGGATAAAAATATTACTCAAGGGGAAATTCTAATGCAATTAATGTTGTACCTTGAAACAGAAACTTACACCAAGCCGAGTATAAATGTCATGGACCTGGATCTGCTTCAACAAACCGCGCAACTTGGTCAAAACAACTCACTGATAAAGAAGCAGCTCCATTCCTCTCTCTAGATTTCATCAAAGGCAAGGAATGGCTACCAGCATGGTTTTTCTAGTGCAGGTGCATCTTTAGACTTCAGACAGAAAGGGCACCTCTAGCTGTAAATTTATCCATGCCTACAAGTTAGTGTATATATTACTGTATAGAAAAGCTACTGATCATGTAAACCGTGAATCCATCTTCTACTTGTACACAAAAAGCTAAGTTTGGTGTGCAATATTAGACATAACTAAATAATATAAACTTTGATTTTGTCAAGTACTATACAATCCCCCCTTTATCGTATTAATATGAATTATCAATATAAACAGACAACATTTAAACTTCTTTTCTTTTTAATACAGAATAAGCATGAGGAGTCATCACTTGTCAAGTTGACTCTTGATCGTGATCTCAGCAAACAAAACTCATCATTTCTGGCAAATGATTATAGAATTAAATCCTAAAACTTCTCTTAATATCTCCTTCCCCAAGACAGAAGCATCAAGGTTAATTTAAGCACTGCATATCTTTCCTTCATATCTCCTTTCCTAAGACAAAAACGCGTGTAAAACCGCTATGTTTGAATTGTTAGCATTATCAATCCACCAATGATCTCAGTAACACGTATACTGGCAGCATAGCACACTGATCACTGAATGGAGAAATGAGTTGTAGAACCCGAATTTTTTTTTTTTTTTTTTGGTGTTGCATATAATCTAGTTGCCAATCGATAGAAATGATATGTCTAGTCATGTCAATTTGTTATGCCGAACAATTAACTAGATTTATATGATTTTTCTTAATAGTTGATCGATCAAAGTAGAAAAAGAATAAAAATATTAAATTTTACACTTTTATATATCTGGGCCGGATAGTTAATTTTTGAATGAGCTATAACTACCCTATTGCTCATTTCAAAGCCCATAATAAATTGTCGATTACGTTGCTCAAGGAAAATATAATTTTGGATAAGTTAAACTCAAGTTAGAGTAAAAAATGAAAACTGCTTAACTAATAATATTAGTTTTCAATTTAGACTCAATTACTATGGCAATTTCAGACTCTTTTAATAGCTTATAATTTATCATGTATAATAGATAAGAAAAAAAGATAATTTTTATTGGATTTCGCTATATTAAAATTATTCGTTTTAAGCACTTCAATAAATTCCGGTTTGATAACGCATCGAGTTGCTAGAATTCAAGGTGTTACAAAATCAGATGTTTATCTTACAGCAGATGCATCAGTGATCGGGAGTTCCTGATGTAAACAAATGAGAGACCTTCCACCGGAGACACTCGTAAATGAATCTACATTTTAATCCTTAAAATAACAATCCTGAGTTGGCCTCAGCCTCTATATGTTTCGTCTCAACTCCAGAAGCAATTCAGCGCAAGCTTCAACAGCCATCTTGCCAACACCAGATGCAAAACATCGATGACGATGTTAAAGTGTATATGCTACCGGCAATGTTATGAGCAAAAATCAAGCATAATTATGCACATTTGGGACATGTCTAGTACACAACATTAGACAGTAACATAGTACTACACAAAATTTTAACTTCTTCAATGATGTTGAATACGGCCCAGCCAGCTTACTAAACATGCCATTTGTGTTTACAGCTCTTTTTTACCACTATCTCCAGCAACGCTACGACCCGCTTGAAATTGAATGACATATTGTCTTTGCAGATCTTTAAGCTTTTCCACTAGTTCTTGGAACGACGGCCGGTACTGTGGATCACTGGTCTCAATACAGATAATTTGAAAATTAGCTAGACTAAAGAATGCTAGAGAAAAGAAAATTAGCTATATTATATTGTAAGTCATCTGTATGCAGATAATGAAAACAATTGGACAGCAATCAGAAACTAGAGAAATACCTTTGCCAGCAGCTCTCGATGATAGAAGCCCATTGTGGATCAACGTCCTTTGGAATCTCTAGCCGTTGGTTCATAAACCCTACAGCTCCAATTACCTGTAGAATCCAATGACGCTGGTCAACATGCAAAAAAATTACTGTATGTGACTTCAAGTTTCTTTCATAATCGAGACTGATCGCACTCATTTGACCCGCTTCACGAAGCAAATGAGAATGTTGTTGAAGCAATAAATTTTCAGAAAAATTACCAATACCTGTATTGAGTTGAGGTTATCCCAAGGAATCTTCTGGGTAACGAGCTCCCATAGTATTACACCAAAGCTGTACACATCAGCCCTAGTTATTCCAAGAAACAATGTCAAGAATCAGATTCGTTTGTTTTCGACAGAGGTTCATTTATAACAATATTTAACATCACACGTCACTAAGCATACTTCTCATCTGAGGGTTCACTACGAAGAACTTCTGGAGCCATCCATTGAGGCTGCATAAGCAAGAATAAGTTCTCAACAAGCTATTAATTTAATAAATTTAGAATGTATTGTACTGGTGCAGCCACGAAGAGAAGTGTCCAGTGCCGGTTAAATACCGTTCCTTTCCCCGTCTTTGTTGTCAAATAAGTTTCATGTTTAAGCCGTGAGAGACCAAAATCACCAACCTGTTGAAGAGGATGTATCAGTCTTCCTCTCATGGAGTTTCTAAAGCACATGCGAAGCAAATTTAGGAAATAAGAGACGAGATTAAGCAGCGTATTCTGAAGAACCCAGGGCAGACCTTCACATTCCAGTTCCTGTCGACGAGAAGATTGGATGACTTTAAATCACGATGAACAATAGGTGGATTGCAACGATGAAGATAATTCATGCCTCGTGCCTGTGGAAATATAGCCAGTCCAAAATTTATACCATGAAAAGAAACACCCAAGAATGCGCAGTGATCTTTAGAAAATGTTAAACATACTGGTATATTTGGAGGGTATGATTAGAAAAATAAGCAAAAATCTTGTTTATTGTGCTATCTAGTCCTAATTATAATCTGTACCCACATGCACAGAGAGCCTACTAAAAGCAAAAAAGAAATTCTGAGACACAACACATCTTGTGCCTTCACTGTAAATAAGGTATGGTTAAATTTGAATTGACTGATATCCCACATGTATTCCAAACTCTTCAAGATACTTACAATATCCAAAGCCATGTGAATGTGTCGCCTCCAATCGAATTTTGATGCATGCCTCTGTAATAACCGGAACAAACTTCCACTGCATCAAATGGAAAGGTGGAAACTTGTATATAAATCACTCTGCTAATGGAACAGCCCAAAATAATAGAGATACAGAGAATAAAATAGTATACTGATATATGCAGAAGATGTAAAGAATACACGACAGTGATTCTAGGGATAAAAGTAGAAAAGAAAAAGGAGAGGAAGGCGCGAAAATTGAGGTAATACCGAGGTAGAAACTCTGTAACAATACAGAGACGTTGAGGGGAAGTAACAGCACCCATGAAGAGCAGAATATTTGGATGTCGAAGTCTTTTCATAAGTGACACCTTCAAAGACAAAGAAAACTTTAAGCAGATTGGCAAAAGTTTTATTCTCGGTTTTTCTAATTATTTTCTTCCCTTATGGGCTTTTGTTACTAAGACAAGTCAAAAACTGCATCATCTTTAGAGTTTTGGACACTCAAAACATGGTTCAAGTGAACAACTCAATCTGAAGGAACATTTCTCAGTGCGAAACCAATCTATGGTCAGGCAGCAGAAGCCACTTGATTAGAACCTATTTACTGTCACGAAAAGATCCTATCTCAAGATTAAGAATATTGGGCAACTCAGAATACATAGCTTGTTTTGAGGCAGGGTTTCAAGTAATTTTCCTAGACATTCTATGAAGAATAGTTGCAGTTATATAGCACAAAGAAAGAATTGAAAACAAACTAAAAATGACATACTCACCTCCTGTCTGAAGGAAAATATTACATCATCAGAATATTCTTGTCTGGAAAATACCTTGACAGCAACATCCTGCATAATAGACATTCATTTAATTAAAGATGAAAACTAGCACGTCCATAACTTTATATATATTCTTATATTACTTTTTCATTTGTAAAGTCTTTCACAGAACTGAAATATTAGCAGTAAAGGAAAAGAACAATCATGGTGATGTGAGCAAGTCAATTCTTAGGCTATTTTCTATACAAAACTTATAAAATTTACCCAGACGGAGTATATGCTTAAATTTCCATAGAAAGTACAAAGGTCTGGAGGGAAATCTAATGAAGCATTGTACAATTCTATGCTTGGCAGTTCCTAATCATTAATTATATTTGGAGCTTGGTACTTGAAAGAGTGACTATCATAATAACAAACTTCGATTCGAATAAAAAAGTGAGTATTCTAAACGTGGCTAAGAAGAGAGACAAAGAACATACGGATCCATACCACAGAGCATGATATACAGTTCCACAAGAACCTGCATCCACATAATATAAAGGTAAGAGGTACAGAGGAATTAAAAGGGGGCATAATAAAGACCCGTAGTGAAATTTCAACTACAAAACATGAAATATTAACAAAAATTTTGCTGCCTAATTGGTCGGTACTCTGGCAAATTCACATCCATAATTTATTAAAGATGCAACCCCTTTCCCTAACATCATAGGATCCATGGGTATTTAAGGGAAAGAATAACTGCAATAACTAAGAAAACTAATACTTGGCAATAACCACCTGCAATGACAGAATGCACTTACCTTGACCAATCTGTTCTCCAATTGTCAAGTCCTCCCACAAGATTTCATAATCTAAGCAGTCAGATACGGTATCAATTTTTAATTGGATCATCATCTATATCAGTAAAGGAGTTTACAGGTTATTTTCTTCAAGTTTGTTCAAATCATTACTAGAATTTTTCTTAGAAATAATCCTTTGATGACGCGGATTTCGACCATCAAGACAATTGGCTGAATCCCATTAACCTTACTGCAGAGAAAAGGTGCACATACCACGAAACAAGCCCTACATATTCATGAGAGGCAAGGGAAGAGGCCGGACAACAATCGTCTGGTCGGAGAACTCTGAGGACAGCTATCGATCTGCCACGTTCAAATGTGAAGCACCACATTTTGTTGCCTACGGCATTAGTTTCAAGGTACGGTTTTTGTATCGCCTTAACATGTTTTCTTTCCCTAAGAAGTGTCAATTCTCATTTTTGGATACATGAAGAATCACCTTATCTCAAAGCTTAATTGCTTGTGTTTAAACACCCCACGTGCAACTCAGATTCATGTCCAGAATTTTCATAAATAGACAATATACTTGGCATAATTCTCATGTAAAGCAATATCTTGTCCAATCCTTTTCGGTACAACATACCAAACATGTCAGTAATGTATTAACAAGAATTCACCCACTTAGATAATTCATATGGTTTGACAGAATGAGGCTCCCACTGGCATTGCTTATACATCTCAAAACCAGTCTGTAGCAGCATTTGTAGGAGGAGACAAGGCTGCCTTCTACCATTGTGGATTTTTCAGCAGCCATAACACACTCTTTGACTCTAAGGGCAGACACTACTATCACAACTGTTACATTCAGGGCTCCATAGATTTCATCTTTGGTCATGGGCAATCGATATATCATGTGAGCTAATTGTATCAATTCTTAAGAAACATACATGAAGAAACGAGCAATTTTTGCCAATTGTTTTTCTGATCAAGGTTTTATTGTTTACGTATGGATGCAGGAGTGCGAAATTTTTGTGATTGCTAATAAGAGACATGAAATCCAAGGATCTATCACAGCACATAGCAGGCAAAGCACCAAGGAAAACAGTGGCTTTGTCTTCGTCAAGGGGAAGGTCTATGGCATCGGTGATGTGTACTTGGGTAGAGCTAATGGAGCATATTCCAGGGTAGTTTTTGCAAACACCTACTTTTCTCGGACAGTCATACCTCAAGGCTGGACAAACTGGAGTCATTCGGGCAGTACAGGGTAAGAAACTGGTTCTCAGAAACAAATATCAGTTTCTTCTTTAGTTCAAAAATTCACAAGATTAAGCCTACGTAAATCATCCTACTTCACTACATTTGATTCGTTGGGCAATCTACTAAAAGATCTAATGCAATTAAGTCCTTTGCAAGTACAAGAGAACACGTTAATTCGCTCTATCCCTTCCTCTTCTAACTTGTATTAACGAGATTATGAACACGAGACTCCTTAGATCTACAAAACCATACAAGTTACCCTTCTCTATATTTCCCTTCCACTTGTGGACATATCTTCTTATTTTTATTATCTTATCCATTTTAGTATGATCATACATCCCTTATAGCAATTACTCTACATTCACCGTACAGTTGATTTGTCTTTTACTAGCCCAACACCTAGAACATAAAGCATAGCAAGTATAATCACTGTTCTATAGAACTGGAATAATCTTTCATATCACATAGAATTCTCGTAGTACTTCTTCATTTCATCTTAACCTGCTTTAATCCTATACATTATATCCTCTTCAATTTCCTATTCTTTACTAATAATTGAACATAGATATCTCAAAGATCACATTCAGGGACGCTTAAGCAATATCAAATCCCAATAAATTTTATCTTAATTACTGGCTCAATTAGATCAAACATGACGTGGCTGACAATTATCATAGGATAAAAATATTACTCAAGGGGAAATTCTAATGCAATTAATGTTGTACCTTGAAACAGAAACTTACACCAAGCCGAGTATAAATGTCATGGACCTGGATCTGCTTCAACAAACCGCGCAACTTGGTCAAAACAACTCACTGATAAAGAAGCAGCTCCATTCCTCTCTCTAAATTTCATCAAAGGCAAGGAATGGCTACCAGAATGGTTTTTCTAGTGCAGGTGCATCTTTACACTTCAGACAGAAAGGGCACCTCTAGCTGTAAATTTATCCATGCCTAGAAGTTAGTGTATAAATTACTGTATAGAAAAGCTACTGATCATGTAAACAGTGAATCCATCTTCTACTTGTACACAAAAAGCTAAGTTTGGTGTGCAATATTAGACATAACTAAATAATATAAACTTTGATTTTGTCAAGTACTATACAATCCCCCCTTTATCGTATTAATATGAATTATCAATATAAACAGACAACATTTAAACTTCTTTTCTTTTTAATACAGAATAAGCATGAGGAGTCATCACTTGTCAAGTTGACTCTTGATCGTGATCTCAGCAAACAAAACTCATCATTTCTGGCAAATGATTATAGAATTAAATCCTAAAACTTCTCTTAATAACTCCTTCCCCAAGACAGAAGCATCAAGGTTAATTTAAGCACTGCATATCTTTCCTTCATATCTCCTTTCCTAAGACAAAAACGCGTGTAAAACCGCTATGTTTGAATTGTTAGCATTATCAATCCACCAATGATCTCAGTAACACGTATACTGGCAGCATAGCACACTGATCACTGAATGGAGAAATGAGTTGTAGAACCCGAATTTTTTTTTTTTTTTTTTGGTGTTGCATATAATCTAGTTGCCAATCGATAGAAATGATATGTCTAGTCATGTCAATTTGTTATGCCGAACAATTAACTAGATTTATATGATTTTTCTTAATAGTTGATCGATCAAAGTAGAAAAAGAATAAAAATATTAAATTTTACACTTTTATATATCTGGGCCGGATAGTTAATTTTTGAATGAGCTATAACTACCCTCTTGCTCATTTCAAAGCCCATAATAAATTGTCGATTACGTGCTCAAGGAAAATATAATTTTGGATAAGTTAAACTCAAGTTAGAGTAAAAAATGAAAACTGCTTAACTAATAATATTAGTTTTCAATTTAGACTCAATTACTATGGCAATTTCAGACTCTTTTAATAGCTTATAATTTATCATGTATAATAGATAAGAAAAAAAGATAATTTTTATTGGATTTCGCTATATTAAAATTATTCGTTTTAAGCACTTCAATAAATTCCGGTTTGATAACGTAAACTCAAGTTAGAGTAAAAAATGAAAACTGCTTAACTAATAATATTAGTTTTCAATTTAGACTCAATTACTATGGCAATTTCAGACTCTTTTAATAGCTTATAATTTATCATGTATAATAGATAAGAAAAAAAGATAATTTTTATTGGATTTCGCTATATTAAAATTATTCGTTTTAAGCACTTCAATAAATTCCGGTTTGATAACACATCGAGTTGCTAGAATTCAAGGTGTTACAAAATCAGATGTTTATCTTACAGCAGATGCATCAGTGATCGGGAGTTCCTGATGTAAACAAATGAGAGACCTTCCACCGGAGACACTCGTAAATGAATCTACATTTTAATCCTTAAAATAACAATCCTGAGTTGGCCTCAGCCTCTATATGTTTCGTCTCAACTCCAGAAGCAATTCAGCGCAAGCTTCAACAGCCATCTTGCCAACACCAGATGCAAAACATCGATGACGATGTTAAAGTGTATATGCTACCGGCAATGTTATGAGCAAAAATCAAGCATAATTATGCACATTTGGGACATGTCTAGTACACAACATTAGACAGTAACATGGTACTACACAAAATTTTAACTTCTTCAATGATGTTGAATACGGCCCAGCCAGCTTACTAAACATGCCATTTGTGTTTACAGCTCTTTTTTACCACTATCTCCAGCAACGCTACGACCCGCTTGAAATTGAATGACATATTGTCTTTGCAGATCTTTAAGCTTTTCCACTAGTTCTTGGAACGACGGCCGGTACTGTGGATCACTGGTCTCAATACAGATAATTTGAAAATTAGCTAGACTAAAGAATGCTAGAGAAAAGAAAATTAGCTATATTATATTGTAAGTCATCTGTATGCAGATAATGAAAACAATTGGACAGCAATCAGAAACTAGAGAAATACCTTTGCCAGCAGCTCTCGATGATAGAAGCCCATTGTGGATCAACGTCCTTTGGAATCTCTAGCCGTTGGTTCATAAACCCTACAGCTCCAATTACCTGTAGAATCCAATGACGCTGGTCAACATGCAAAAAAATTACTGTATGTGACTTCAAGTTTCTTTCATAATCGAGACTGATCGCACTCATTTGACCCGCTTCACGAAGCAAATGAGAATGTTGTTGAAGCAATAAATTTTCAGAAAAATTACCAATACCTGTATTGAGTTGAGGTTATCCCAAGGAATCTTCTGGGTAACGAGCTCCCATAGTATTACACCAAAGCTGTACACATCAGCCCTAGTTATTCCAAGAAACAATGTCAAGAATCAGATTCGTTTGTTTTCGACAGAGGTTCATTTATAACAATATTTAACATCACACGTCACTAAGCATACTTCTCATCTGAGGGTTCACTACGAAGAACTTCTGGAGCCATCCATTGAGGCTGCATAAGCAAGAATAAGTTCTCAACAAGCTATTAATTTAATAAATTTAGAATGTATTGTACTGGTGCAGCCACGAAGAGAAGTGTCCAGTGCCGGTTAAATACCGTTCCTTTCCCCGTCTTTGTTGTCAAATAAGTTTCATGTTTAAGCCGTGAGAGACCAAAATCACCAACCTGTTGAAGAGGATGTATCAGTCTTCCTCTCATGGAGTTTCTAAAGCACATGCGAAGCAAATTTAGGAAATAAGAGACGAGATTAAGCAGCGTATTCTGAAGAACCCAGGGCAGACCTTCACATTCCAGTTCCTGTCGACGAGAAGATTGGATGACTTTAAATCACGATGAACAATAGGTGGATTGCAACGATGAAGATAATTCATGCCTCGTGCCTGTGGAAATATAGCCAGTCCAAAATTTATACCATGAAAAGAAACACCCAAGAATGCGCAGTGATCTTTAGAAAATGTTAAACATACTGGTATATTTGGAGGGTATGATTAGAAAAATAAGCAAAAATCTTGTTTATTGTGCTATCTAGTCCTAATTATAATCTGTACCCACATGCACAGAGAGCCTACTAAAAGCAAAAAAGAAATTCTGAGACACAACACATCTTGTGCCTTCACTGTAAATAAGGTATGGTTAAATTTGAATTGACTGATATCCCACATGTATTCCAAACTCTTCAAGATACTTACAATATCCAAAGCCATGTGAATGTGTCGCCTCCAATCGAATTTTGATGCATGCCTCTGTAATAACCGGAACAAACTTCCACTGCATCAAATGGAAAGGTGGAAACTTGTATATAAATCACTCTGCTAATGGAACAGCCCAAAATAATAGAGATACAGAGAATAAAATAGTATACTGATATATGCAGAAGATGTAAAGAATACACGACAGTGATTCTAGGGATAAAAGTAGAAAAGAAAAAGGAGAGGAAGGCGCGAAAATTGAGGTAATACCGAGGTAGAAACTCTGTAACAATACAGAGACGTTGAGGGGAAGTAACAGCACCCATGAAGAGCAGAATATTTGGATGTCGAAGTCTTTTCATAAGTGACACCTTCAAAGACAAAGAAAACTTTAAGCAGATTGGCAAAAGTTTTATTCTCGGTTTTTCTAATTATTTTCTTCCCTTATGGGCTTTTGTTACTAAGACAAGTCAAAAACTGCATCATCTTTAGAGTTTTGGACACTCAAAACATGGTTCAAGTGAACAACTCAATCTGAAGGAACATTTCTCAGTGCGAAACCAATCTATGGTCAGGCAGCAGAAGCCACTTGATTAGAACCTATTTACTGTCACGAAAAGATCCTATCTCAAGATAAGAATATTGGGCAACTCAGAATACATAGCTTGTTTTGAGGCAGGGTTTCAAGTAATTTTCCTAGACATTCTATGAAGAATAGTTGCAGTTATATAGCACAAAGAAAGAATCGAAAACAAACTAAAAATGACATACTCACCTCCTGTCTGAAGGAAAATATTACATCATCAGAATATTCTTGTCTGGAAAATACCTTGACAGCAACATCCTGCATAATAGACATTCATTTAATTAAAGATGAAAACTAGCACGTCCATAACTTTATATATATTCTTATATTACTTTTTCATTTGTAAAGTCTTTCACAGAACTGAAATATTAGCAGTAAAGGAAAAGAACAATCATGGTGATGTGAGCAAGTCAATTCTTAGGCTATTTTCTATACAAAACTTATAAAATTTACCCAGACGGAGTATATGCTTAAATTTCCATAGAAAGTACAAAGGTCTGGAGGGAAATCTAATGAAGCATTGTACAATTCTATGCTTGGCAGTTCCTAATCATTAATTATATTTGGAGCTTGGTACTTGAAAGAGTGACTATCATAATAACAAACTTCGATTCAAATAAAAAAGTGAGTATTCTAAACGTGGCTAAGAAGAGAGACAAAGAACATACGGATCCATACCACAGAGCATGATATACAGTTCCACAAGAACCTGCATCCACATAATATAAAGGTAAGAGGTACAGAGGAATTAAAAGGGGGCATAATAAAGACCCGTAGTGAAATTTCAACTACAAAACATGAAATATTAACAAAAATTTTGCTGCCTAATTGGTCGGTACTCTGGCAAATTCACATCCATAATTTATTAAAGATGCAACCCCTTTCCCTAACATCATAGGATCCATGGGTATTTAAGGGAAAGAATAACTGCAATAACTAAGAAAACTAATACTTGGCAATAACCACCTGCAATGACAGAATGCACTTACCTTGACCAATCTGTTCTCCAATTGTCAAGTCCTCCCACAAGATTTCATAATCTAAGCAGTCAGATACGGTATCAATTTTATTAACAGTAGTACTGCTAGTACTACCACCACTGCTAACCGTGCTTGTGCTGTTAACATTGAACGGCGAGGACCAAGATCCTGAAGCCTCACTATGGGCAGTCCAGCGATTTTCAGCAACCTGATTTTCTGACTTTGGTGAACTCTTCGGCTGACCCAATTCGTTGTCCTGGTCATTGTGCAACCACGGGCAGACAGGATGACATGTCTTTGTTTCTGATCCATCTCGTTCATTTCCTTTCCATGGCCATGCCAAACCTTTCTTACCGATCCAAGCTTCAGCTTTCGGGGTAATGATCTTAGAGATACCAGTTTTACCTTCACTCTCATCACCAGAATCTCTTGATGGATTAACAGGTGAGCGCTCCTCATAACTAACCCCAGAGAACACACCAAAAGGAGATGGATGTGCATCTCTTGGCGTACTGGCTCCACTTGAAGCTGCATCTTCCCTATGGTCAGAGAGAGCAGCATCTGAGAAATCATTATCAGAGTGATGACTATCTCCACTTCCGATATCAAGATCCAAAATGTTCTCTCCAGATCTTATTTTCGACTTAACTTTGTCGCTGACTTTGGAAGCCTATTTAATGATTTGCAGAAGTCAACATATGCTAAGAAATTATTGTAATCATTCGTAATGTAATCGAGAAAGTGCAAGACTAACCAAATTTGATATTTTGGAGGAAATTGCAGCTTGCAGAGGCTGCTGAGGATCAAGTCCAAGTTTGGCTGAAGCAAAAAGTCTTGGCCTGCTAAATATTGAACTAGTTTCCACCGGCTTAGGCGCAGATGTTACTGCTTTCGCTTCTAGGAAAGGTCTTGAATCACAGGAGACGCATATAATCCCGACCAAAGAGCCATCATCATCATATAAAGGGGTATCTGTTGCAATAACTGAAAACCTCTCGCCTCTCTTGTGCTTAACAGGAAACTGCCCTGTCCAACTCTCCCCCGTCATTACACGACACATTATATTTCTTCCCACAGCAAAGTCTTGGTCATCTGTTACCAGCTCAAGGATGTCTTTCCCTAAAGCCTCGGAAGCTGAATATCCATAAATATTTTCAGCACTTCTGTTCCTGGCAACAGAAACTATAACCAAATTGGCTAATACAGAATAACATTTCCCATAAAGGGAGTTGAATCTTACCTTGCATTTATCAAAACAAAAGTTCCTAATTTTGATTATTATTATTATTATTATTAGTGTACAATGCCAATATTGCAACTATGTATTGATAAAGTGGACTAGACAATGCTCAAATAAAACTAATGTCTTGTCCATTATATTGTCCAATAATATATAATACTACATATCAAAGCGTGTAATAAATGCGGTCAGTATAAGAAAGCCCAAACAAAAACTGTCAGTATAACCACATGCAAGATAGATCAAGAAAATGAGCCAATAAAACTTCAACTGACTCACCAGTAAACTATCCGACCATTCAGATCAAGTATATGCACTGACTGTCCCATTGACTGCAATATATTCAAATATTGCTTATCTGTGAACTTCACAGCCGCTGGCCCTCCCCCTCCTCCACCATCAGCACCCCAACGCCCAACCCCACAATCACCGCCACTATGCACATCTTTACTACTACTCTCCCGCTGCAACGGCGATGAGTGCCGGAATGATGCCGACCCTCTCTTCCACGCCGCCACTAAGCCACCATCTCCGCCACCGGCCCTCCTCCACGGCACCCGCTGAGGGGAAATGGAATGGGACCTCTGCTTGAAATTTTGATGCATAGTTGATTGTGGTGAACTCGTGAGCTTAGACATCTCTTGCTTTAACTGGGCATGTCCTGTTTCTAATTCTTGGAGCTTCTTTAATAGCTCCTCCGCTTGTGGTGGTGCCCCTGATGCTGCTGATGGATCTTTTGCATCATTTTCCATAATAATTAACTCAACACCAAACAAAAATAAAACTTGAATGCCCCAAAACAAGTGCCCAAATGTTTCAAATTACTTGAACCCTCATTTTTACTTCTCACTCTTTATATACTTTGACATGGATTTAGGACAGAATCACTGTCTTTCCGTTCCCCCTACACCCTTTTGGCAAACAACTTTTTTATGTGAATCCATGTGTTTATATGCAATCAATTGTTGCTGAAAGTGGACAAATTTGGGATCAATTACAGTTCAAGAAGCTACCATTCAGCTCTCTCTCACATTTCTCTGCCCTTTTGAGTAAGGCGGTTCTTGATTTGGGAGGTTTCTCTAGCTCTATTCCATGTAACGTATATTAATTATCGCTTTCCCAGCTGGTACAATATCGCAAATTTGATGACCTTTAACGGACTATGGGCGTGCCTTACACGGGAAATAATAGCCAACCGTTTCTTGATAATTTGATATCAATCTGGTCGTGAGAAGCACGTCAGTTATGGAGCGTGAGATCTCATTTTAGTAGCTTTTCTTTTCATTTTCAATTAAAAAGAGAATATTGCATCACGGGTCCCAAGTTATTGTAAGAGTAGCTAATAGGTCTTCAATATTTCAAGTTTATAAACTGATGCAATCTCATTTTTACTATATTCTTTAGGACATAATGTGTTTACTTACTTTTAACAATATATTCCTTGAAATTACTACTTTTAAGTATTTAAAAGCTTAGTCAAGTGAGCATGGGTCTGTCCGGAAACTTACCTCACATCAAAATTCTAAGAATTAACTCGAGTAGAAAAAAACTTAACTTCATAAAATTGGGCATGTGGATGGCATGACAGTTTAGTAGAAAATTAGAAATTTTAATTGTCAAATACGACTTGTCTAATTGTAATGAAACGCAAAGAAAAAGTGCTTCTCTTCAAAGGGTTGAAAACTAATTTACCATTTGAACAATAAAATTTGGGACAAATAGTGCAATTTCTTACACTGAAAAACACAAACTAACTCCAGTTACG